TCTCCTCCTGTGGTCAAGGGACTCAAGTGGCTGTAGATCTTAAGCAATTATTCAGCAACTACTGGATGCTATGAACCAGATGCTAGGCATCTAACTATAAACCAAAAAGATAAAGCGTTTAGCCTCATGAGCTTATAGTCTAAAAGAGGAATGTCTATTAAGCAAATTACAGCTAACCTCAAACAACTGTGTTGAGTACTAAAAGGAGAACACAAATGTAATCAAAGTGAATAAAGAAGAACCTTTAAAAAAAACCTAAGAACCACCAATAAGGAGGGATGTTGTGAGCAAAGAGAGCAGTGACAAGACAGAAAGCAAAGCACAGACCATGTAGGAAAGGGCTTCAAGTGGACCTCAGAGTCCCAAGATGCTTTCTGTGATCACCATCTCTTCTCTGCCCTTTGGCTGCCTCATTTATTCCCAAGTGCTCAGCTATCGACTCAATCCAGATGTATACCTCCAGGTCCAACCATGTGTATTCATTTACTCATCTGTTCACTCAGGTCAACAATAATATATGAAACACTGCCATGTCACAAACAATGTTGCTGAGGGCCACACTTTCATTTTCATCCCTTCCCTAGAGGGCTCTGTGAATGTTCTACAATTTCCTAAAGCTTTGCTTTCAACTGTACCTTGACTTGTGGTCATTTAGGTCACATGCCTTCTATCTGCTAATAGAAAGTTAGCTCCTGAGGGTGGGGTTTATGTCCCTGAGGGTGGGTTTATGTCCAATGTGCCTTCGTGTCCCCCAAAGTATGTGTGTGCCTTGGAATCTAGTGTCACAGGTGTTCTGTTATCACACTTATTACATTGCTGTGTGATCAATGGCTTAACTTTTTCTCTTGTGGACTGTTCTGTGAACTTTGTAAGGACTGGCAGAAGCGCATAACGAATGAATGGATATCTTGTATTTTAATCAAACATAATCTTCCTATTGATTTTGTCATTTCACTGAGGTCACTAATTATTCTCACTACTACCCTCCCATCATCTTTCCAGGGAGTTGAAATTTTGGCATGACCATTATCTCCTGATTCCTCTGTCTTTTTAAAATATCCAATGAGCTGTTAAATCTTGTGGCTTCTACTTTTGCAGCCACATTCAAATCTTTTCTATTCTCCCTGCAACCACCTTGGTTTAGGCTCACTGTCTCTTGTAAGAACACTGACTGGTCTCCCTTCTTGACTCCCCATACCACATGACACCTGCTGCTGTTCGTAAACTTTCCTGAATCATAATTCCATCCTGCCAATCCCTGACTTAAAAACATTCGAAGCCTCCCTTTAATCCACTGCATTAATTTTAGCTCTCTCTGCTGGACATTACCCCATCTACGTTTTGATTCTAATCTCCCACGACTTCCCTATTGATACCTTCTCCCCTTCCACTCCCCAGTCAAACAGAACTATACACTTTTTATTAAATATGTTGTGTGTTTTCCATCTGTTACTTCTGCCTGGGACACTCGCTTTCATTCTATACTTTGAGGCCCACTATAAACATCAGCTTGTTCATGATGTACGTCCGGATACCCCACAAGACAAGATTTCTGCCTCACTCGAATAGTTGCAGCCTTTTTTATTCCTTTCTTGGAGTTCAGTCTTCACTCTGTTTTATTTATAGTCATTTGGTACTTACCTTGTCCACTGCAATATAAGCGCTCTGAAGTAAGGACAAGTGGTTTCATTATTTTTCTGTGTCTGGAGAGAGTCTAGTACAAGGGTCTTGCAAGAAGCAATCAATAAATATTTGTTGAATTAAACTGTTCTCTCAACTTTATTGTCCTCGAGGACAGGGACTTTAAGTGTCTCTCAAAACTTAGTGAGTGCTCAAAACATGTTTTTTAGAAATAGCTTCATGGTTCCAGAGCAAGGTTTTTCAAAATACATGTAACGTTAACATTAACCTGATGTATTCATGTAGAAATTTCTCATCATTTAACATAAAGAAAAAAGAAACAAACTCTGATTCAAATATTCTTTATTCTCTTTCTTTGTTTTATATGATGAAGCCTAACTCTTAGAGGTGTTTATCATGTGTTAATCACTGTCTTAACAACCATCATTTCATGTAATCCTCACAACCGTATCATGAAGCCCTGTTTGTTTGTTTGTTTGTTTTTTCCCATCTGATGGGTGGAAGGTTTAGAGAAGTAAAGAACTTGAACTCACAACAGACAAATGGCAGAGCTGAGATTGGTACCTAGGCAGTTTCTGCCTCCAGAATCACCCTTGGGCCATACTGCCTTGGTTACATTTGCTGAGCCCCTTCATTTCAACAGTTTGAATTTTAAAAAACTTTTTTTTTTTTTTTTTTTTTAGTAGGAATCTCACTTTGCCACCCAGGCTGGAGTGCAGTGGCATGCTCATGGCCACCACAGCCTTGCCCTGCTGGGCTCAGGTGATCCTTCAGCTTCAGCCTTTCAAATAGCTGGAACTATAGGTGTGCACCACCATGCCTGGCTAATTTTTTGATTTATTGTAGAGATGTGGTCTCGCCAAGTTGCCCCAGATGGTCTCGAACCTCTGGACTCAGGCAATCCTCTTGCCTCCACCACCCAAGGTGCTGGGAATACAGGTGTGAGTCACTGCACCTGGCTTAAAAACTTTTAAAAACACTTTGACCTACATCTTCAAATCATTCTTTGAAACATAAGAACTTTTGACTTAGATTATTTTAAAGGGTGCTTTTTATTTTAAAAATAAAGAATTGTTAAGTCTATTTCTTCTACCTGCCAATGTAAGCTTCAAGTTTAGGTGATTCGTTTTTTTCAAACAACATGCATGGTCAATACTTGATTATGCACTCCAAAGGATGGAGTAGAAACAAAGTCAGCAGACTACCAAAGAACTCATAATCATTTGATTTTTGAAAACAGTTTGGAAATTTCAGAATCAAAGATAACAACTTACTCTCCATTTCCCACACAAACCTTTACATACTTGAAAACTCCATTAGTAGCCTGGACCTTTATTGGCTGGCAGAGTAAAGGGGCGAGGGTTGTCGCAGGTAATCCACAAAAAAAGTCAGAATAACCAGAAGTTTCTCTCTTTTCAAATCTCTATTCAGTCTGCAGAGAAGGCACTAGCACTAATTCTGACCATAGTCCTGAAAAGACTACACCTCTTTCACCTAGCACCAAGTAGTTGACAAACTTCAAAACTAAGAGAAGAAGTTTGTATTGGCCTAAATATGCTGACAGTACATTATGATACAACGCGCTGCCTCCTTTAGGATTCAGAGACACAAGTGTATGAAGTAGAGACAAACACAGGTAGTTAAATACAAGGAGACGCTACTGCCAGACAGCTCACAAGTATCTCTTCAGTCTCTTTTGTAAATATTATCATTAAATATCCGAATGATAGCTCAAGCCAAAACTATGTCAAGAAAGGACCAACTCTGCTTTTTAGTAAAATAAAGAAGAAAAATGATTCCTGATATTTGAACTACTCAAGTGTTCAATTTATTCATTCAAAGAAAAAAAAAACTGTAGAAAGTCTGACAATATTAACTTTTACTATTTAGTCATAGCTATTATATCTTTTCCTGGATTTAAGTGTTAATGTTAAAATATATCATCACTGTAGGTATGATGAATTTCTGTGACTTAAGTGATACTTTAAAATCCAAATCTCATTTATAAAGCAACATTTTATCATCTAGAGTATTTTTACTCCTTTAAAATGATCTAAGATATTCACTTGTTGATACTTCAGTATTTCAAGTTATAGATCATAAGTCCAAAAAAGAACAAAAGAAATCAATTAGTGTCTAATATTCACAAGTACGTAATGAAAAATGACAGGCTAAATACTCATGAGTACTGGTTAATATTATGCCAACTCCCTCTGCTGTAGCAGAAATCATAAACATAAAAAAGCACATAATAGAAAAATAAGTTTAAATCAAGTAAAAATATTTATGACATTCATAAAATGACATCTTTTATAAAAATATTTTATGATAATATTTTATGACATATGACTTCCTAAAAAGTGCATTTACTCAATCATGAATGAAAGCAGATGTAGATAATTCAAAAATAAAATATAAACAAAATATATACAAAATAGAACAAAAACAATTTTGCTTAAATGTCACCGAATAGCCATTGCCTTGCTAAGCTATGGCAAGGCCATGCTTCCTGGTTTTGACCCACTTCCCTGCCCTTAGAGAGATGAATCTTCTCTCTCTTTCTCTCTCTCTCTCTCTTTCTCTCCCTGTGTTACTTTTAAATAAACTATATTTTCTAAGCTAAAAATAATAATAATAATAAATCACTGAATAAATGCATATTCTTAGCAATCTGTAACTTCTTTTAAGAAGTCATCTATATATTAGCTAAATAGTTTCATAAAGATGGATTATTAAGGTGGAACATGTATACTGATTCGTATTAAAGAAAGAGATTCCTAACTTCCTGTTTCAGATCATTACAATTTCCACATGAAATCAAAACCCACAATACATTTAACATCGTGAATATGAAGTACAGACTCATTTGGATAGAAACTTACCTGAATGTACATGCATGGTCATTACTTCTGCCTGGGACACTCGCTTTCATTCTATACTGAATGTACATTATTTTCCTTTGAAAAGCAACTTCCTCAACATTGCATGTTAAGAATAATGAAACGTAACCATTCATCCTGACCTAGATAAGAATTTTCAAAGGCGGAGAGGAAAAACAAAAATCTTCCCCTCATAAATCTCAATCCTACTTCATGAGTTTTCCTTTAATTTTTGCTATTTTAGAACACTAATAATTTTGCTGTGTTTTCCCTGGAGCGTTCCCTATCAAGATTAAAGAAGGGCTTATTCAGAGACAAACAGGATCCAGGAGTAACGTGCAGCTTCCAGGCAAGCTATAAATAGCTGCAGCATTTTCAAGAAATCTTGTGCCACTGTGTAAGATGCAGTTTAAACATGCAGTGCAGATTTTATTACAATGGTGTCACCAAAATTCCTTAAGTGAGAAATTCAATTCTTACCAAGTTTTCTTGGTTCCTGGCTGCTATTTTCTGCTCTTCTTCTGCCCCATTTTTCATGTATTTGACCTCTTCCACTGGTTTGATCCTATACTCATCTGAGTGCCAAAAAAAGAAAACACATTTTATAAATTTTTCTATAATGGCAGAAAAGTGTCAGTTAGAAAAGCCCAACAGTCTAATTTGTTAGATCCTTTTCCCTGAGGCCTTTATACAGATTCATTTGGGACAATCTGGAAGAAGCTTACCCAGGCATTTTTCTTTTTCTTTTTTGAGTTGGGGTCTCACTCTGTCACCCAGGCTGGGGTACAGTAGCATGATCACAGCTCACCATAGCCTCGACCTCCTGGACTCAGATGATTCTTCCACCTTAGCCTCTGAGTAGCTGGGACTACAGGCACATGCCACTATGCCTGGCCATCTTGGATCTTTTTAAGAGGCACTGTCCTCTGTCTATTGGAAAAAACTCAGCACTGTGTATGCAGTTAATCAAAGTGTTACTGCCTGGTCCTTCCACAGAGAGCAAATGTTTCAGAAGAAAAAGGATATTCCATCTCAAAAGACTTTCGGGGTCTATATAAACTGGGACATATCATATAATGATCTATTTTCCCCAAGAGAATATTAGTTCAAAATGCCTGTAACAGCAATTTCCAGCAATACATTCATTCTTTGACTCTTTTGAAAGAAACAAACCACTACTTAAGACTAAGGAGATGCACTGATAAACATATAGAATTGATATTTTTCTTTTTGTAATTCCTATATTAAATTTGAACTGTCTGCAATTATTTCACTTCAAATATATACTACATATTTATTATATACATACACATAGGTATATGTGTCACACACTCACGCACACGTGCGCGCACACACACACACACACACACACACACACACACACACACTCTCTGTAAAGTCATATGCATGAAGAACCATTAATACCTAACGGATCTAACAGTCAGGTCTATCACTCAAGGCTGAAAGTATAGTGGAAGGTGGATGGGATCTAGACTTTGCAATAGCTAGAAAGAGTACAAAAAAATCCCAATATCAATAGATATCATAGGACAAATGCAGGAAAACTTGCAGTTAAAGTTCTTCTCCAGGATAGAGTGATGACGATGATGACATTTTCATGATTCCTGTCAACAGGAAAAGACTTGAGTACACTAAGGTCAAAAATATTTGTGACTCTGAGTCATTTTTCATCCAATTTGTGGCAAAAAAAGAATCACAGAAATTATGAAATTAGAAATTTTCATCAACCAGCAAACTGATAAATGGCATATGGCATGGAATAATGTCTAACTAGGAAGGACTGCCTGGAAGACAGCCGTCTATTGCTGAGAGTGTTTACGAGTGGGTACCCAAAAAAACCCGGAATTATTTTTTGGAGGGCAGGCTCCTTGCAGTACAGGCTTTCCTCACTAAAAAAAGTGTTCTAGGAACCCATTGGCATCAGTATACTAGCTAGCATTGTTGTAAGAGGCTGTGTTCAGCTTCAGTGAATTTTTTTTTTTTTTGAGATTCTTTCAATGCATTTACTTATTTCATGATGGGTGATGGGTGCTTTACGAGCACACCTGCTCAAACAGTGCTGAGTGTTCAGCAGTTTTGGACCAAAAACAACACGACCCTTGTGCCCCACCCTTACTATTCAACCAATCTTATCCTGAGCAACTTCTTTTTTGCTTCCCTGGATGAAAAGAGCCCTTAAAGGGAAACATTTTGCTGATGTGAAAAAGGTGAAGGAAAAAAAAAAAATTAAGAGCACTAAAAGGTAGCAAAATTGACGAGTTCAAAAACTGTTTTGAACAGTGGAAAAAGTAACTTGATAGGTGTATTACATCCAACAGAGAGTACTTTGAAGGTGACTGAAGCTTAAACATGTAAGAATAAATACACAACTTTTTATAAAAACATTCTTGTTTTTTGGGTCCCCCTTCATATATTTTTGTTTAGAAAGTTGCAATGTATTTTCTTATTACCTATGATTAGATGGGTGCAATGACTCTATTCATATATAATTTATTGTTTTAGTATTGATAATACCACTTTATTATGTATTTTCAGGTTTACTCATACTATTCCTTAACACACAGCCTCCAAAGACACTCTTTATAGTTCAGTAAGATTTCTTCAAGTAATTATACTGTTCAAATGGTTCTCAAAATTATCATTCTTATGAATGTAATACATTTGCATATATCTGAATAAAGACTCCACGGTCATGGCTAAGCCTATTGTTTCTTCCACCTGATAATTCAGAGTAGCTATTGATTCTGCCTTTTTGTAAAGAAATGAGAAAGGCTAGTGTGAGGTTGAGCAACAAGTCCTTTAGAAATAGGTCCTGCCGGGCTCAGTGGCTCAGCCTGTAATCCCGTGCTTTGGGAGGCTGAGGTGTGTGGATTGCCTGAGCCCGCAGGTTCGAGACCCGCCTGGGCAGAGAGACCTCATCTTTACAATAAATCAAAAAATCAGCTGGGCGTGGTAGCGCATGCCTGTAATTCCGGCTACTTGGAAGGCTGAGGCCGAAGGATCGCCGGAGCCCAGCAGGTCGAGGCTGCGGTGGCCGGGAGCGGCCACTGCACTCCAGTCTGGGCGACAGAGTGAGACTCCAACTCAAAAAAAAAAAAAAGAAATAGGTCCTAAATGTACTAAGTTCATCAGTAGACTCCGACCCACAGTGACAACACAAAAGAATTTCACATTCCAATTTGGTATTCAGAAGAGAAAAAAATGAAAGTAAGTTAATAATATTGACACACTGAAGAATATTTACTCAGAAAGTGGAAAAACGATTGCTAAGTAAAAAAAAAAAACACACTAAATTATGCCCCCCAATACGATTACACAGATATTTTTTAAAAGGTTAAAAAAAAGTTAAAGATGGGTCTTCCTAACTTTTGGGATGTTAATATTTAAAAATCATGGCTCACTGAGATAATTATAAACACTTACCTAAATTGGGATCTTAAGTGCTCATAGTGAGTTTCTAATTATTTAAATATACATTACATATATTGTGTGTATATGTGTGTATATATATAGACAAAAATCATAGAATCTACTGGCATTGATTTTATATATATATAAAATCAATGCCAGTAGATTCTATGATTTTTGTCTATAGTCCCCAACCCCTACATGATAGGATGGGGACGAGCCCCTTTGCCTGCTGCATAGGAAGGGTTTTTCTCCTAGAGAGGAGAGATCCAGTCCTGCCCATTATCCTCCCCCACCTGTCAAGTCATAGCCCAGAGTAGATACATTCTGAGCAGTCTCACAATATCCAGTCTTCGTTTTCTTATCCCTCCAGGGAACACAACTGAATTGAAAGTAGTAGACAAACTATTAATATTTTTCTAACATTTTTCTCCAGTGAAATGGAAACACTACTGGTTATATGACTTTCAAGGCAGCATTATCCCAAATACAGGTTTTTAAAAAAATTTTCACATCAAGACAGAATCCTCACCAATTTAGACAGAAGATAGGTTTTAACATGTCATTAACAATCTTGGCTGGCTTGCCAACACGGTGTTAGAGAAACACAGTAAGACTGGACACAAAGGGAGAAAAAACAAACAGCCAAGACTACAAAGCCAGACCTATCATTACTTATACAACATACTGCACAAAATCCATCATGATATAAAACAAAAAAGCCTGCAAGACCCTTAGATAAGCCACAATTTGTACAAAGCGAATACTTAAAAATGATCTGTCAAATTCTCAAAGGCTGGTGCCAGGAATGAAGATGTCCATCTGGAAACAGACAACTCATTAACAAATGTGGCACACATTCTCAAGGCGGTGCAGCCCTCGGGAACGCCCTGCCTCACCAACCAGCCTCCGTGCAGCCAAACTGAGATTTGAATTCTGACAGCAAGACCATCACTACTGAAATCCAGTTTTCCTTTTGTTGAAGGCACAGGGGAATTAATTTGGGACTTTGGGTCTCCTTTATCAGAAGCCACACTGGAGGTGGTAGGGACAGCCACTGTCACCAGCCAGAGGGTCCTGGCAGCAGAACAATGTACCAACTCGATGAAGAGCAGGGAGAAGTGGCACACGTCTTTCCCGGTCTTCCTCTGGCTCCCTCCAGCTCTCTCACACCTGTTCACAATTTCTCTTTTCTTCCTGTTGATCTTGTCAGGTGGCTTATTAAAATGCACGTCAGGAACAGTAGGCTGCCTCTCCGCTCCCTCCATGTAAACAGTTGCAGGCTGTGCTAGTCAAAATAGATCTGGAGGGAAAGCAACGCCTTGGAGATATTTTTAGCATTTTATTCCTCTGATTACATCAGAGGGGACTGGGATTGTTTGGTGGCAGTCATTGATCAAAAGAAGACTGCATGAGAAGCTGAAGCTGTCAGAGTCGATTCAAATTTGCACCATTTAGAAAATAACTGTGAGATCCCTCCATACCTTAAAGAGTAGCATTCATAGAGATCTTCTGCCATTCTTCCTCCTTCCCCATTCTATATGGACATTTCTAACTTTTTAGTCATCCTGACATTATAAACCTACTGCAGCACCCATCTCCTTCTAGTTGATTCCTTTTAAGGTTGGTTCTGTTCATTATAAATGTAATTCTGAAGCAGATCTTCTACGTGCAAAGCTTGGAAGAAGGGAGATAGGGCCAGTGAGTTCTTGAAGTAGCTGCCATTGTTATGAAATGCTGGAGTGGCGAATGGCACAGCAGGTCAATCCCTCCATGTCCCACTAATGACTTTCAATCATTTGGAACTGAAAATCTGGAACCGCCAAAGGGCTGCTTGGTTGCCGGTACAGTGGCGCGTGCCTATAGTCCCAGCTACTCTGGAGTCTGAGGCAAGAGGATTGCTTGAGCCCAGGAGTTCAAGACCAGCAACATAAAGAGACCCCTCTAAAAATCAAAATTAAAAAGAAAAAAAAAAAGCCAAAGGTCTACTTGGGAATTAAGCTACTAATGTTTTCTAATAACAAGTACACTTGAAAGTAAAACAAATAAGCCTCCCCAAATCTGAATGGCTTGTACGTCAAAGGGCACAGAATACATAAAAGAGGAGATGGTTTCATGTCCAGGTTACTCCATGGAAACCTATTTA